ACTTATAAATAAACCAAATTATATAGGTGTTGTGGTGTGTTATCGTTGACATTTTTCATGAAATAATTATAGACGTTGTCACGTCTATAATTAAATCAATTACAACGTCTATAATTATTTCAAACCAAAGTATACCAAGTGTCTAAAATCCTTCTACCGTCGGGACTCGAATCCCGGGGAGGCCTGGAGTGACTTCAGTTGATGCCTTGAGCCACCTCTCAACATTGTGGGCGGGAGCGATGCACGAGGCGCGAGCGGGCGCGGGCAAGGCGGCGGACGGAGGGGGAGTGGAGGGGGCGAAGGTGCTGGCAGAGGCGCGGGCGGGAGTGGCGGTGAGAACACGACTGCGTGAAGTGTGGAACGGAAGTGATGGCAGCGCAAGCAATGAAAGACGCATGTGCCCAAATCGCTGATGAGCGTACAGTGGGACGAAATACCCAAGTTGTGATCACAAACTCAGATTCAAAATCAATTAAAATTATTGTATAGTATACGTCTCCGTCTCTGTGCCAACACATATGCAAAGAAAGTAATACTCTCAGAATACAAATATGTGTCGATATCATCCCAGCAAACCCTACAGCTCGCACTTAGATAATGCAATAGTAATTATGTAGTCAGCAAAATTTCGGAAACGTACAGTGGGAATGGCTGCGAGGAAGCAGTAAAAAGCAATACGTGCTGTAGTGAAAAAATTATGAATCGCCGGTTGGAGATGTTCTGGAACGTACAGAAATGATGACAGTTCGTACAGTGTGTGAAAAGCGGCCAGTTTTCTCCATGAATCAGTCGGACGATTGGCTTTTCATTCAACCACCTATCACATCTTTACCATCTACATAATAATTTTCTCTTCTCATTATTTATCCGCCATGATCATTCTACCATTATCTACGTTCAGGAGCGTGATACATAAAGAAATAGGATATTTTCCTCGACTATGGTCAATAACAGAGTACGGGACACATTATTATCACTTTCTCTGTGCCCAAAGTGTCTTTTAACACGAATTTGGAATGATGTAAATATAAATTAACGGAAACTTTAAGCCACACCGTCATGAAATTATTTTTTCATAGAGATCGGTCTTTGAAGTATTAACACGTAATATATCATTTATATTACGGCAAAAAGGGATCTATTTGCATTTAATTTTACCTATTTGTTGCATTTTTGTGTATTTATTTATATTTATTTTATTGCATTATATTTTTATTTATTTTGTTCATTCATTTTGAACCAAATCCTGTGCCCACATTTCGCTCGTTTTGGCCCACTGTGCCGGGGCGGTGGGGGCGGCGGCTGGAGGTGTCGTTACCAGGCAACCCGCAACCCCGTGGCTGAGCGTTGCCATGGCAACCGGCGGAGGCGGCGCGAGGGGCAGATAGCGCCTCGTGCGTTGCAGCTGCTCCCGTCTTCGTTGCCCCGATGATGGCGCGGAAGAGCGATGAATTTTGAATAATAGGAAATATGCATATTTGAGGGACGATTGGATGTAAATATTCCTAGACTTAGCAAAACGCAGTCGCACATAAAGTAAAATTGGATCATTTGGTTCTTAATTATTCTTGACCTTGTTGATCAGAACGTTTTCTATCAGTGTGACAGTGTATAGATGTAAACAAAAAAACAAAATGTGATATATCCAGGTTATTAGAAACGTTTATAAGATAACAAAAAATATCCTTATATTAAATTGAATTTATTAACTACATTTGATATTGAAAATAGATAAAATTTCACGAGTGAATTGAACGTAAATAGTTGCCTACAGAGCACATATCTCATGTTATTTCATTCACCGTGGTTGGTTGTCTTACCTAACATATCGAGGTCGTAATTAATCGCTCAGAAAATAAATATGTTCTTTGGCAATTGACTGAAACGTCTCCTTCCTTTTAGAAGCTTAAGATCTTTTCAAAAGCCTCGGCCATATTTTTATTTAAATTATTATTTACTTAAATATTTGGCTATAAGGAGGCAATATGACGGATGAATTAAAATATTCGAATATGTTCAAAATAAACCATCCGTCTTAATCCACAGTTTAAAACAGTTGATGTTTCCAAGGTAGAACTACTGTATGCACTCGTAGCAGTACGAATGTTGATGTATGAGAACTAAATATTAATAATTTATTTCGATGAGAGAACATCATTAATTTAATGCTTGGCATAAACGTAATTAATTTCGCCCGAGGACCAACACTGATCCCGGAGCGTGCCTTGCCCGAGTGACACGGAAACGTGGGCAATTACTGCGGATAGCGTCGGCACGCCAGGGATAATCGCACTTGGCAGGCGGGGCGGCGCGGGGCGAGAGAAGAGC